CCCCCCCCCATACTACTACAAGTCACCTCCTCCACCGTCGCCATCTCCTCCACCACCCTATTATTACAAATCCCCACCACCTCCATCCCCATCCCCTCCACCCCCATACTATTACAAGTCACCACCACCACCATCACCATCACCACCACCACCATACCACTACAAGTCACCTCCTCCACCATCACCATCTCCTCCACCACCTTACTATTACAAGTCACCACCCCCACCATCACCACCACCACCACCACCATACCACTACCATACTACTACAAGTCACCCCCTCCACCGTCGCCATCTCCTCCTCCACCCTACCACTACAAGTCTCCCCCACCACCCTCTCCTTCACCACCACCTCCATACTACTACAAAGTGAAATCACCTCCACCTCCAGCTTACATTTATGCTTCTCCACCACCACCAACACACTACTAGGCTCGAAATACTCCTCCATTCATCACAGCAAATCACGTAAGTTATACCACTACAAATCCCCACCTCCCCCCTCACCATCTCCTCCACCCCCATACCACTACAAATCCCCTCCTCCACCATCCCCATCACATCCACCACCTTACTACTACAAGTCTCCTCCACCACCATCTCCATCTCCCCCTCCTCCATATGTCTACAAGTCCCCACCTCCCCCTTCACAGTCACCACCTCCTCCCTACTACTACCATTCACCTCCCCCACCAGTGAAATCACCTCCACCTCCAGCTTACATTTATGCTTCTCCACCACCACCAACACACTACTAGGCTCGAAATACTCCTCCATTCATCACAGCAAATCACGTAAGTGAAGTTTCTTTTCAGTCAATTCTCACCACGTCATTTAGTGCCAAAACATTTCAATCTGTGCAGTGTAATTAATCAGTTCACATTTCCCATTGTTATTGATTTTCAGGTTTTAGTTTAAGCAACGTAATAAAGGAAGGCTCCAGTAGCGAAATGTGCAGACACGAAGCATCCTATCCAAATCCATGCAATAAGGGTCTAAGTTTTGCGTCAGAAAGCTACAACTTTTACCATTCTCCAGTCTCAAACTTCAACGTGACAATCTTGCACATCATCATCTTATTGTGTTCAAATACTGGTTTTGGCTTCAAAATGTTCTCTATGCCTTCTTAAGATTAGGAAGTGAGGTGGGAGAAGAAGGAGACCCGGATTTGGAAGTGGGCTTTTAATTAGCAGATTGTTTGTTTGTTCTTTCTTTTTAAATTTATTGATCAAATGGGGGGTTCCTTCTAATTTATTTACTGTTTGCGCTACCGTACAGCCCAGTTTCATCTGGGTTCTATTTATTATGGGCAATTGTTGTTTCCTGGACCTTTTTGTGCTTTGCAAAAAGGTTGTTCGTAATAAAAGATCACCACCTTCCTCTTCTGTCGCAATTATTTTTGTTTAAATGCCGTCATTAGTAGCATGGGAGCAGCGAGCTAGGGCTATCTTCCTTGTGCCCTCTGCAAACCAGACCATCCAAGGCACAAACAACTTCAGTTGACCGGCAAAACTAACAGAGGGAATATTACTGATAAAAATCAACAAGAAAGAGATAAAGCAATTACACTTTAAAATTATTGAGTGCCGTAGTGGGTGTCTGCTTTTTCTTCGCTGCCTCCTCCTTTCTGTTGATTCTTTCAAAAGTGAAAGTGTTCAAAGGGGAGATGACAAGCCTCCGCGTGCATGCTGGACCACGTTAATTCAAAAACCTTAAAGCTACATGCAAAGTGATTGAGACATCAATAATTGATTAATTGTAGAAACTTGAAAAATTAACTCTTTGTTTGAAGCACATAGTGGACTTAATTATAGTTAATTTTCTATTCTTTTCAACATTAATTTCCATTTTTCATCAAAATAAATATATTATTTTTTTCATAGCTTGATCATGGGTACAAAATCAGAATGAATAATTTTGATTAATCATGCCTTGATTCCATAAATAATCAACTGAATATAAGTATTTTAAGATTGAAGCAACATAATTCAAGCAATCTGCCGATCCAAAGCTTAGCTTAGCCAAATTCTTTTTGAATAAATTGAAGCAACATAATTTTAAGATTGATCCAAATTAAACTACTTTTCATAGGATCAGATAGAGTCTAGCATGTCGTTTCATAGGATCAGATAGAGTCTAGCATGTAATGAACATGTTCTGTTACATAAAGTCCCGAAACCCATGAAAAAGATTGCATGCCACGGTTAAGGAAGTTCAATCACATTTGTATTTATATTTTAAAAGTATTTTTATAAAAATTTAAAAATTATTTTTTATTTAAAATTATTTTTTTATTTTTTTATATTGTTTAGATATATTGATATAAAAAATAATTCTATAAAATTAAATATTATTTTCATATATTTCTAAATAAAAAACTTCATCCAACACTCCCTTTCGAAAATGATTGGTCAAACCAGTAGAACCTTCCTGCAATCAGACAAAAAATGTTAGGTCACTAGGAAGAACTTAACAGGCACATGTTCTTCTGTTTCGGTTCAAACGGTAGGTATCCTGTTATCCTCTAACGGAATATAAAAATTGAAGCATATGCTCTAGTTGTTTCATGGTTATGGGCATTAATTATAATTTAGTCCCTATAGTTTAATAAAATTACTTAACTAATCCACTAAGTATGACAAATAATTAAGTAATTTATTAATTAGCATCGAACCATTTTTAATTTAATGATTTTTCTTACGAAAATCCCTTCTCTTCTTTGAAAAATCGATGAACATTTCTTTAACCATGAAAATTAATTAATTAATTAATTAATTAATTAATAATGTTAACTATAGGGACTAAGTCACGGGCAACTGTGGAGCAGGTGAAGTGAGAGTTGAGAAGTCTCAATCTTGATCATCTGTGCGCCCCATCACAATTCACAAGCTTCCAAGTCTAAAGTTCAAAGGGTCGGTCCATGTGATATCAAATTTTAGATTATGATAATGATTGGATTTGTTGTCTTCCATTTAATTGCATTCTAGTTGATTCTATCCTACCAGAATATTGTTTTATTGTTATTTTTTTTCCTTTAGCCGCCGGGGCTGTGTAAGAGGATGTTTAAGAATATAGTAGTTGTTTTTTTATTTAGAAATATATTAAAATAATATTTTTTTTATTTTTAAAATTTATATTTGAGATAAACATATTAAAATGTTTAAGAATATAAAAAATAAATTTTAATTATCTATGTTTTGGTAGCAATTTCAAACGTACACTGTGACTGAGTCATATAAGCCTTGATGGAGACGTTAGGGATTATCTCGCTATTTTAATATTAACACTTCACAATTGCTTCTTTCTTCTTGTTGTTTTTTTTTCAAGATTATACAGCGCCATTATGTTTATTGGACAGCACAATAATTAAGTATGATTGTTCAATCTGACCGATTTGATAATTTATTCAAAATCTATTGTAATTTAAAGCTTTATTTAAGTAGAGTTTTATTTTAAATAAAAAATATTAAATTAATAAAATAATTTATTTAAAAGTATGATTGTGATTGTTTTTTAAAATATTTTTTATATTAAAATATATTAAAATAATTTTATTTACACTATGTTTTCAAACATTCATCTAATATCTCATTAATTTTAAATTTGTAGGGAAAAATCTACTATATTGATTTTTTAAAAAGTATTATTTTTAATATTAGCATGTTAAAATAATATATTTACATCATATTTCCAAGCATTCATCTAATATCTCATCAATTCCAAATTTACAGGGAAAAAATCTATTATATAGATTTTTTTGAAAATATTACTTTTATTATTAACATATTAAAATAATTAAAAAAATAATTTTAAATTTTAAGCAAGCCACGATATTAAATACCCTCTTAAATATTGTAAAAAAAAGAAAAAATTCTAATGGTTAACCCTACCACGCCTTATTAGATTAATTTTAAAAATATGTAATTCAAAGTTTGTTTCATTAAAAAAAATAATTTAAGCAAGCCACAATATCAAAAATCCTCTTAAATATTGTAAAAAAAAAAATCTTATTGTTAAACCTACCACACCTTATTAGATTAACTTTAAAAATATGTAATTCAAAGTTTGTTTCAAATTAAATTTAAAAATTGATTGACCTAGTTAATTTTTTAGTAGTATGGATACATTGATGTTGATGAATTTTTTTAGAAAAATAAAATAATATTTTTTAATAAAAACAATTGATTCATGTTAATATAATAAATCAAACTCTAGGCTGGTCATATATATATATATATATAGTTCTTAGCTGGTAAACACTTTGGATATGAAAAAAATTTCAACGGATTCATCCAAAGCAAAAAAGTCGTACATCAAGAATTAATTAACATAAATAATAATTTCCGATGGCTATATAAAGAGCTGGAAATATTATGAGAGTGATCGTACGAACCTCACAAATCGTTTTCGTTTTTTAATTATTATTTTCTTTTGTTGATTCTAATTAAATTATTTGAATATCAAATGCCACCGCTTCCTTGTTTGAAGGGGCATCTAGAAGTTTCAGCATACAAGTACTTTTACAGCTTTGCATTTTTATTTTTATTTTTATTTTTATTATATGTAAGTATTCACATTGGGAAGAAAATTCGATTGCTTGGAAACCTAATATTACATTAACAATCAATGCTCTGACATTAACTAGGATTTCTCGGTGCTAAAACTATATTGTTGAATAAAAAAATTCCAAAACTTAATTAAAAAATCTAAAAATAATTAGAAAAATAAAAAAATTATAAAAAAAGATATTATTGGGTATTAAAACAACTTTAGCTTGTTAAAACCCGATTAAATAGAATGGCTAGCAAAATTCCACCTAATTCCAATGATTATATAAAAAGTTATGTTTGTTTTTTTTTTAAAAAAACTTGTTTGACATATTCAAATTTTTTCTTATTACTTGTTTAATATTATAGTGTAGGGTGTTTTTTTTTAAAAAAATTACTTAAAAATATATTAAAATAATTTTTTTCATACTATTATTTATTTTTGCATTAGGACATCAAAACTATAAAAAACACTAAAAACTCATCTATTTAATATTTTTTTAAATAAAATATACTTTGAAATGTATAAAAAAACCACACATTTGAACTTAGGCTCTGTTTGTTTCAGGGAAAGTGATTTACTTGAAAATTTTTTTGTGTTTATTTGTCATTAAAAAAGTTGATTAACAAAAAATATTTTCTAATCAAAAGAAAATTTAGTTTAGTCTCTATGAAGTTTTTTTTTTTTTTTTAGGCCCAAAATATTTTTTAAAAGTTGTTAAAAATTTAAAAATGTCATGTTATTTGTTGATTATATCAAATTTAATCCTCAAACTTTTGATTTGCTATATATTTTTTTTAAAATATTTTTTTAATTTCATCCCTTAGAATTTAATTTAATTTGATTTTTATATCAACTTTAATCCTTATTTTTATAATTATTATTTGTTTTTCTGTTATTATTTTCTTAATTAAATTTTTTTATCTATCATATTTGATCTTCATTCTTTTTATTGCTATTTAATTTTTTTAATTTCATAATCTTTCAAATTTTTTATCTATTAGATTTGATCTCTATTATTTTGATTATTATTTATTTTATTTGAAATAATTTATGAAATTAGTTTTTTTTTCAATTTTATTTTCATTTAACTTTTTTAATTTATAAGATTTGTTTCTCATTATTTTAATAAACTTAAAAAAAAATTAACACTTTATTGGTTAATGAAAGTTGAATAAAAAAAATCTAAAACTTAATTAAAAAATCTAAAAATAACTAGAAAAATAAATAAAATTATAAAAAACATTCCAAATATAATATGGGCATTAAAACAACTTTAGTTGGTTAAAGCCCAATCCAACAGGCTTGTAGAACAAGTTAACAAAATTCCAGCTAAATCCAATGTCCACTTAAAGTTATGCTTGTTGTCGTTAAAAAAAAAAAAAACTTGTTTGACACATTTAAATTTCTTCTTAGTGTATATTTAGAATTATGGTGTATGGTGTTTTTTTAAAATAATTTTTTCTTGAAAATATATTACCATAATTTTTTTTTCATATTATTATTATTATTATTATTATTTATATCTAGACATTAAATTTATTGAAAAACATTTAAAAAATTATTAATTTAATATTTTTTTCAAATAAAATATAATTTTAAAACGCATAAAAACAGAACCTACTACCTTAGACTTAAGACTTGTTGATTTGATCATGAATGATACTCATTAGTTATTATGCATCAATAATGTAACATTGCCCTTTCCTTCTTTCGACTCTACACAATATTAATGTGATCCCAGCTTAATTTGAGCAAGTGTCTTTCTAATGGATGGCAGACACTCCAACAGAGAAAGGATGCAACGCAGAGCAACTAGGGCAAGATCTCCTTCTCT